TTTGTGACAGACGCCGTAAAAGCTGCTGTGAAAGGCGACCGCGTTTTTGTGATTGCAGGTACCGCTTGCTGGTCCATCCACGTGAACACTTCTTCGAGCACGTCGATGTCACCCTTCCCACTGACCTCTTCCCAGTGCTGCTTTTGCGCCGCGTTCGCTCGCGACTCTTCCTTCCTGCGGGTTTCACAGTTTCCTGCCCCCAACTTGCCTTCTGCTGCTGCCTTTCCCGAGCCGCCAATGGGATCTCGCTTGCGAACTCAAAAGTCGCCCAGGGTGTTGGGCCTAGCATTTGGTTCCTGTGGACGTGTTTTTGTGCTCACGTCCTCCTCGTACCGGCAAGCTGCCACCATCCACATGTGGAAACCTGGCACTGCCGAATGGAAGCTGATTGAAAGCCGGTGCAGGGTCTACCGCAGCACCACCCTGGCGTCTTGCGGTGCGCATCTCTTTGTGCCAGGCGGTTGCACCGCGCATGCTGACAGCAGCGATGCGTCAGCAGGGACTGATGAGGTTGTCGTGCTCCGTGTGAAGCGAGCAACGGTGCACCGGAGTCGTTCAGTGGCAGAGCGACGCACGGTAGCAGTGTCAGAGGTTTTCTACTCACAGAACAGTGTGGGTGCCACTTTCGGTCGAGCCACAGCACACGCTGGGCAGCCTTTAGAGAGCCTTGTGGCAGACCTGATGAGTGGGAAGGTTTTAGCAGATGATCCAGCCCTGGTGCTGGATGTCATCGATTGCGGGGGAAGATTGATATCGTTGAGCAATCGGAGGCTACATTGCCTGAAGACATTTGCTGAACGCAGCGGGACGGCGGTTAAGGTCACCATAGACGTTTGGCCGCTAAGAGAGGATGCTATATTGGCTGAAGGAAAGCCAACCACGCAAGTGTTTTGTGCAAAGTTCACAACAACTGATTGTGGCATTAGCGTGCGGCAGCGTGAGAGCTCCGTGCGTCGGGCTTCCGTGTCGTCCCAGCGGTCTCATTCGGCCCATTCGCGCTCAATGTCTCGTGAGCCAAGCCTGCCAACCACTTATGAAAGGCTGCAGACTCCAAGGCGTGACCGTCCGATCAGGTAGCACATGGACTGCAATTGCATACATGCTGTCTACAACAATGCCAATTGCGCACATTCAGGTGCCTGTCGGGCATCATAGACATTTCCAATCCTTTTCAAAATCACTGCAAACAGCTTCCTTTGGCTGCGCGGTCTGTAGCCTGTTGTTTCATGAAGTAAAGGTCTCACAGCAAGCCCGCAAGCCGCAAGCTGCACCTTGATGGAGCACTGCCGGTGCCCTGCAGAATTCTGCACAGACGGCCTGCCACACATGCTCGAGCGTCTTCAAGTTCTTTGTGCGATGGTTAAGATGACAATTTCTGCATTCTAGCCACTCCTGACCCGGCATCCTGGCGTTGTTCTGTAGGCCCAGAGGACGAGGCTTGAGTCGGGTCACGCAGCAAGAGCGAAATAATTTGTGCCAAGTTGCTCAAAGGTTGCTTTGTGTGTTGTGGTGCTGCGGGATAGGCCGGGCGGCAACAAAGTTTGTCCACTACGTCTTAGTATGGGGCCTTGCGGGGCCCCATTGTCACAGGCATGTCATGGGTGCAACAACTGTTGTAGTCATCCCGTAAATTGAACCCCGAAACCTGAGTTGCAACATGAATCAATGCGATAACCACAGAGCAGTGCAAAATTAAAAGGCTGCGGGAGCAACAGTCCCAACGATCTTGGAAGGAGGCACCAGGTGAAGGGGCGTCCGGCTTCTGCTACTAAGGCAGCCTAACAGCCCAACCAGGGGATACCAGGGGGACCACACTGTGAACACCCTGCAATGCGGGCCTTGCTAGGCGGGAGGCAACAAGCACTCTTAAGACCCTGCATCTCTAGACTCTTGCAACAAGTCCGGCTCAAGGCCGCAAGTGCTTTTACGCTGCAGTCTGTTTTGCGCGTGTGCTCCTGCAACGTGAGGACTCCTTCGCGAAGTCCTTGAAACAGGTCTGCATCCCAGAAGCCAGCAAGTGCTCTCCGCATGTAGGGTGCCTTTGCGTTTGTTTCTTGTACCTGCCTTCGTCGAACCCATGGAATCATTCCTCAACCTGTGAGTTAAACGATATTCTGCCATATCTGCCAGCTCACACATCTTTTGTGTGTGTATATATGTATATGCATATATACGTGAACACACGTAAATCAACACTTAAGCAAACACACATATGGAAATCGTTACATTTACATAAACAACCAGTACAGAGTGCATGTATCTAAAAATGTGTAGTACATATACATATAGCTATACATATGTGTGTGTATGCTATGTTACATTATGTTACGTCATGTCAAGTTATGTCATGTGTGTATGTATGCTACATATATGTATGTGTATATGTATGTATGTATGTATGTATGTATGTATGCGTGTGTATGTATCTTCAGGTGTGTATGTATGTATGTGTATGTACGTAAGTATGTATGTACATATGTATGTAGGTATGTACGTATGTAGTCTTAGTATGTATGTATGCATGCATGATTATGTATGTATGTATGTATTTATGTATGTATGTACATGATTACGCATGCGCACACGCACTCGCCTGACCTCCAGAGGCTTCAGGCAAGCACCGGAACTCCGGCATTTTCCAACTGCAGACGAAGCCGCGCCGCTTAATCGCGCCTCGATTTGCCTACTGAAGTTCTTCTGTCCGGGGTTTTGAGGCCCCTGACATCTTTCCCGGGTTGGAGCTGGGTTTGCACAAAGGTGTTCCCTCGCGGTGAAGATGAGTCGACAATTCTGCAGCTGGTGCCGGAGAAGCTGCGGAGCTGGGTTCAGGTGCGCATGCCTTCTGCTCTTAGAAGCTGGTTAAGCACGAAACTCGAGCAAGTCTTCGGCAGGTGGCGCCATATCGGGATTTGGTGGAGGGGCTGAGCTCCTCGCAGCCCTGTCTGAGCTTTCTCCTTCTTTAGCACGGAGTGGAACCGCCGCGAGCTTCGTTTCGCGCCAGGAAGATCCGCAGCATTCTGAAGTCCGGGGGCAAGGCCGGGCAGCAGGCAGAAGCCAGTCCGGACTGATCCCCACAGTGGCACCACTGCTGGCAAGGCTCCTCCGAGCACGGTGCACCCCGTCGTGTGGAACCGCTTGCTTCAGGCCGGATCTGGCATGTCAGGGAAGAGTTGAGTCAAGCTGTGTCCAGAGCAGGCAGAGAACAGCTGGGACGGCCAGGACGGCGGTCGGCCGAACCAATTCGCTTGTTGAGCAATGGGCCAGTACAACTACAAGAATAAGCGTAAGTGACCCTTAGTGATCGTCCGCTCTAGCACAAACCAGCACAAAAAGTCTCGTGTAATGCCGGATGAATGGCGACAGACTCGAAAAACGGGGATCATGTATATGTTGCCCCATCGCAAACGAGGACAGGCTCTGTGGCTTATGACCATCAACAGAACTATCTATACCCCCGTTAGCGGTGTGCTGCAGAGGATGGACCTACACTAGGTGGCATGTCGACAATGTCGATGTGATCTTCCGAGCTCAAGCTGTAAGTGTGCGGCGCTACAGAGGGCCCACTCACGATAGCAAAAGCAAGCAAATATGCACAGCAGTTCGGCCATGCATGGTGCATCAAATGATTGCTCAGAGGAGTTGGCCGACGACTTCAGCGATGAGCAGGACCAAGCCGTAATTGTACCGCGGGACATCCGAGTTTCACTCTCAGCTCTCTGGCAGGAGCCGGTAGAGGAAGGAGGCAATCAGACCATTGATCATGGTTGCTCTGTGCAAGCATTGCATTGGGTGTATGCGGCGGCATAAAGAAGCGACCATCATCCACGAAGCCATTGAAAATCAAGAACGATCTGCAAATAAGGAGGCGACGTCAAACACTAGCAGAGCAAGACCGAGGTCACCACCATCACCACACCGCAACCAACGCCATCATCATCACCAGCTACGACCAGGACGACATCACCACTAACAAAATCCACCAGTAACGACGACAACAACAGCAACAGCGACACCAAGACCAAGACCAGCACCAGCAGCAGCAGCAGCAGCACCACCAGCAGCAGCACGTCATCATCATCATCACCAACATGAACATCAACTTCACATTCAGCAGAAACAGAAACAAAACAACAGCAGCAGCAACAACAAGAACAATGCCAGCAGCACCAAGAACACCACAGCAACCCTGACAACAAGAACAGGAAGACTCATAAGACTGATAAGCTAATACTAACACTAAGAACAACAACACCAACACCAGCAGCAACAGCAACATCAACAACAACAACAGCTACAGTGCTGCTGAGGCAACAGCAGGAGCAGCAGCAACAACAAGAACAACAGCAACAACGACAGCAGCAACAAGAGTTACCAACAACACCAACAGCACCAACACCACCACCCCCACCCCCACCACCACCAACAACAACGACCACGTCAACATCATTATCTTCATCAGCAACAAAGCGACAGTAACATCCAAGAAAGAAAATCGCCCACATTGTGTTACCTGCTCTCCGAACCTCGCCTGCCTTATCCGAGAATGGGTGCCGAAAGGCCAGCACCAACAGCAGCAGAAATGAGGAGAAACAACAACCGCCACCATGACCACAGTTCCATCTTCAGACACGGGAACGACACCAACAGCAAGAAGAGGAGCAAGATCAACTTCACTCACGGACATGATAGCAAGGATGGGACGTTGGTGAACAATGGTTATCGTTGCAGCAATTTTGTAAAGAAAGCACTCGGCAGTGCTTCATCAGCCATTCGCGTAGCTCCATCAGCAGGGACCTGCTGATCGCTTCTAAAACCACTTGTCATGCCGTGTTTTGCATTCAGGCCGTGTGTTCCAAGACCCGCGAACACATTATGATGCTTTGGCACCACAGCGCGGCGCCTCAGACCTGGATCAAAGTTGGTCTTCAAGACCATGCTCGTGCTTGCTCCCCCCTACCTTGTTTCGATTGGATTTTAAGAAGAGACCTGCCTCGAGGTCTATGCAACAGCGGCTCCAGTCGCCGACCGTGCGACTGAGGAACTTTAACTCTTTTGCCAAGGCCAAAGTTCTGAGTCACTGTCCATGATTCGATGATGCTTAAGATGGCTGTGGGGCACTGCGGCAGATGCCCCAGTCCCCATCGTCAGAGTGTGAAGGCTGGTCTTTTGGAGCAGTTCCTGAGCAAGGTGCTCCGGGAGGCCTCAGGGCTGCAGGAAAGTGCGCACGGAGGATGCGAGCTTTTGGATGTGATTGTTTGTCGAACCTGTGGTTCAGGATTCCTCAACGAGAATCCTGCCTGGCATTGTTTTGGCTTGTTGCACCGCCTTGATCAGGTTCGTGGGGAGGATCCGCAAATTTCTGTGCTGGACTTGGGCTGTGGCTGCCCGGCTGCACGGCGTCACGTTTCGAAAACCCGGTGAGTGAGCAAAACCTTTCACTGCTCGTAAGCTACTGTACCCGCTATGCCAGGCAAGGGCGGCGACGTGAAGAAGCTCGTGAACTCCGGCCGGCGCCTTTGGTAAACGCCGGTGAGAACGATTCTATGCCCGGTCCATCTTGCTTCGATCTTGGGCAGCGCCATGAGTAGAGACCGGGCCCCGAGCTTTCGTAGGCTGGAAAGACTCCCACAGTCCCAAGGTGTGACGGTGTATTGTGGCGTGGACGTTTCCTTCAGCTCGCTGGAGGCGAGAACGGGTACCCAAGAGGGCTTTGCGATTCTTGGGGTCTTGGGGTTAAACTGCCATAGCAAGCAGACAGATGATAGACTTGCGGATTGGGATTAGCATGTGGTAGTGTGGCTGTCACAGCGGCTTTCTAGCAATATCGAGGCTTCCCGGTCAGGGTCCCACCGCCAGCGCAAGGTCCTCGTTCGACGCGTACAGGAGCTCCAGCAGAAACTTGCGGCCGCTAAGCCTCGCCCTTGCACTGCAGCAGTGAAGCAGTGAGTGGAGATGTGCTAACAGATGGTCCATCAAGATGTTTGCTGTGTGCCTCAGTCACGGCTAAGACTCCGGCCAGAATGCCCCGGCTCAATACGGAATTCATTCTCATTGCGCTGCAGAGCTGTCACGATCTGTACTATGCTGCCACGAGTTCGATATCAGGCACGGATCCCTCGGCCGTGTTCGAGGGTGCCCACTTGTGGAGGCGCCCGCTTGAGCTTGAGAATTTTGGGACCCTTTGCCAGCAAAGGTTTCCTTGGTCCACGGGGACTGCTGGCAGCAGCGGATTCTCGGCTGCGACCGTGCTCGCAGCATCAGAGAAAATCCGAGCAAAATTTCAGGCTGGAGCCAGCCTGGGACTTCAGCGCTAGGCAAGAACTGAAGCAGGGAGCAGGGAGTGTGATGCAGCGCTGTGTGACAGAACCGGTCAGGCACGGGACCGCCCGTTTGGACTCAATGGGGAAGACTTGGCTCGCCACTCATTGGATGCTGGCACTTTATCAGACTTCATCATGCAGGGGATGATTCCTTCATCGCATCTTGACCTCGCAGGTTTCACTTGGTGACTTCCCAGATGGCCATGGGCTGAAAATTAGCCGTTTTTGCCTTGGAGGTTCGGGGAGGCAAGCTTGATGACAGTGTGTCCCGGGAGCTTGAATGTGTGCATTCCCATGATGAGTGATAGTGGCCGTCAGCATCAGGAGAAAACTGACCGTGAGCAAAAATTCGCTCGTGTTCGTCTGAACTAAACCATCGAAGTCCCATGTTCCGCAAGTTTTGGAGATGCATGTTCCTTTCTGCTTTGTAAGTATGCGGGGGGGGGCAGGACGGTCAGCAAATGGAAGCCGAAACATCAAGGGTGAGTTTGTGCTGAGGCTTGCCATTACGCGTTCCAAAGTCAGGCAAGCACGGTGTGTGGGAACGTTTGTGCTTTTGTGTTTTCCAAACAGAGGTAACGGGGCATGGCCATATGAAGGAAACTCGTCACTGTCACGCATCACTTTCAAAGCTTGCCAGGCATCTGTGGATGTGATGCTGCACAATGTGGCTAACCTGCACATTTTGATGATGGGTCAAGTCTTCTCAGCCGTTGATTGTCCGTGAGAACCAGGCCTCATCTCGCTTGTGCCGTGGTGGCTATTTTGTCGGAACAGTGCCAAATTCGTCAAGGCTGCCTTGCGCATGATTGATGCTTTTAGCAAATTCTGCATGCAATTGCCAGTTGCCTTACTGGGTTTTCATGTTGTGGTTGTGACTTCAAGCAGTAGAACTGTTTGCGTGCAGAATCATTTCGCTCGAGCGCGCCCGTGGCGTGGCGAGGGCCTCAACATGGCAGCGCACACTTGATGGTAGTCAAGCCTTGCACGATGAGTTCAAGATGCTTAAGTGGTTAGGTAGTCTGCTTGTCCCGAATCGACAGCATCTTGCTTGGATTCAAACTACAGGGGAACGATCCGCGCAGCATTGGCAACAGACTTTTCCGGATCGACTTCAGCAAGGAGGCCCTGAAAATGGTATCCAGACGTGTCCAGTGTTCCTTTGCGATGCGAGCCCGAACTGCTGGCAGGAGTGGAAGAAGGTCGAAGCAGCGCCCGACCTATGGCACCAAGATGGTGCCTTGGAGGTGGACTCGCGTGCCTTCGGAGTGATGTACACGCAGCTTGCAAGCAATGCGCTGAACACTTCGACTTGTTGGAGACGCTGCCTGGGTAAAGGGGTGACCGGCCAAGGTTTCACTTAGCAGATGCAGTCGAGGCTTGGTTTGTCGGAGAGGGTCGCTAGGCGGAGGTACTGAAAGCACTGACACATTTTGATTTCCAATGGAGAAGCAAGCTCATGACGAGGCGTGCCCAGAACCCTTGGTGCATTTTCCAAGCTTCATCGCCTTGGCAAAGCGCCACGTGCCGAAGCTGCGGTTAGGCATGTATGTATCGAAGATTAGGATGTTCAGGAATGGCTCTATCACATATTTATTCAAGCAGGGTCCCTGGCTGTATGCTGACTGTTGTGGTTTGGAGTCTCTAAGAGTTTGGTCTAGGTTCTCTGGATGATGTGGTCGTGAAACATAAGCAGACCTGCGGTCAGGGCTTGCACCTTTGCCTGGGGCCGACGCCGTTGACAGATTTCGTGGATACAAACAACATGAAGGCTTCGCATGGCATGTATCCGCCGTTCAGGGAGTGGCAACTCCGTAGCACTCTTTTGGGAGCAAGTCCATATCTGGCACATCAGCACTTCCGAGCGCAGGCAGAACTGGGCCGTTTGCGGCGCATCTATGCCTTTGAAGGCTGACACCGGGTTATCGGTTGGGTGAGCGGGCTGTGCACAAGTTGATGGAGTGTAGGGCAGTGTAGGGAATCTCGAGAACCAAGCTTGCAGGTGGTATGGCCTTGGATACCGATGAGGCCATCCAGAGTCCTGCACACACCCTGATGGTGGCATCTCTGTACTGTGCGGATCTTTGGAAAATCAACGTCGTCGCACAACATCGCCGGTGAAGAGCGTAGGCTTCCGAACAACGAGAAGCTTCTGGCTTGTACGTGGCATTCGCCTTCCGAAAAGAGGCCAGCTATGTGGCTAGTTTTGAGTTTCTATCGCGAACATGCTGCGTTGCTGGTTGCAGACCAGGCAGCATGGCAGGGCCAGTCAGTGACGGCCGTTTGCGTCCCCAGGCAGATTCCGGCTTTCCCGGATGTCAAGAAATTTCCGACGGCGATGGGCTCAACAGACACTTGTCACTTGCATTGCGGCATCCCATGGACAGCCGCAGGCTTGCAGTCCCTGCGTGGGCCTTCCGCGAAGCTGCCGCAGATTCCAGGCAGCCTCCATGGATGTGTCCGGTGTACAGCGCTTTGCTTGTGGCCTCGAGGTGACATTGTCAGCTGCACGGAGCCAGACCAAAGAAGTTTGCCCGGGCACTGCGACTCGAAAAAGTCATCATGGAGAGCGAATGTGGACAGTGAGCTGTTTCGCCCAACGTCGCAATCGCTGGAGTTGTCCTAGAAATGTTCGTTGGCCAGAATCATGAGGTGCTACGACTTGAGACTTTTCAACATTCGACTTCGACTTTCAGTTGCCAAGACTTGTGGCACGTGTTTTTCTTTGGTCCCGGCTGAGTGAAAGCTGGGTTTGGGCTGCAAACTCACGGTCATCCCCCATCATATCCCATCATCAAGTTTCGATACGTGTGCTGAGAACATGTTCGGTTTGGAGAGGGACTGCTTTTCTCCAAGAGAAGCCTGAAGCCCGGTTGTACTGAAGCAGGTGCAACATCGTCGGGGGCTCATCCCTTCACAATGCTCGACCCAAGCATGTGTGCCTGCGGCGCGGTTTTGGCTCTTGCAAGGGTCATTTGCCCCCCCTTTGTCCATGCGGGGCAGAGAGGCGGGACTGGTTGCTGCCCGCATGCGTTGCCGGCTGCTCAGGTTACATGGTACTGGTAACGCTTTCAGCCTGGGGTCGAACTTTGGGTTCTCAGCGGGCTCGTGGGGCGGATCAGGGTTGGATCTTGGGTTGAGGGCTTCACCGCCTTCAGGCTTCGGATTTGGATGACCGGTATGGTGTCAGAGATGGAACATGTTGTGGCGTCTTAGATCGATCCTTCGTTTGATTCCAACTCTGACTGATGAGCGGCTTCCTGGCTAGCAGCTGTGTTATTCTGAGGTTAACGCCCAAGCAAGGAAGGCGCAGGAACTGTCTTGTTTTTGCACTCTGAGAGTGGCACTGTGCAATCGATGGGAGGCATTCTCTCTGAAGGAGACACTTCCCTGCTACCATGCACAAGTACCGGTGCGGGCCTTTCACCGCCATGTGATCGCAAGCTGACAATGCCTGTTTTGCTCAATCGAGTATAGCGGCCTTCGTAATTACCTATACTATTTTGGGGTTCCTTATTACAATTATAGTACAATGGATCACAAAACCCTATTCTAATTATTAATGCCCCTACATGAGGCTGATTTCCAAGAAGGGCGAGGGCACCTTCTCAGAGGTGCTGAAGGCGCGGCTGGCTCCTTCAGAATGCCCGGCAACTCCTGACCACAACGGACAGGCGCAGTCCATCAAGTCAGGGAAGCATGTAGCAATCAAATGTGACTTGGCTGCAAAGCTGCGGTTGTGCGTCGTAGTAATCGGAAAATTTGCAAGTATGCAGCTAGCGCCACTGTCTCGAAAAGCCTCGAATGACGCATGATCTGGAAACGAATGCAATGCCACGCAAGCTATTCGTTTGACGCATCAGTTGGCAGCGGAGTCTTACCGATTGCCACGGCCGAGGCATGAAGAACCATTTCGACAGCATAGACCAAGTTAACAACTTGCGAGAAATCCAGGCCCGGGGCATCCGCGACTATCGCTCCAGCAGGTAATATTGCCTTGCGACTGCCAGACGTGTTCGCAAAGTAGGCTTCCAACACCCACGCCCGTGAAATCCTCGACCCGTGATTTCCAGAGGCACTACGCAGGTTAGCCGGACATCCCAACATCATCAAGCTTCACGAGGCCGATATGTGGTGCAACGAGAGCCATGGCAATCGTTTGTTAACCCAGAACTACTCTGCCGGCTTTTCCATGCAGCCATCCGTTAACTGGCGCGGCTGCGAGGCTCAAGCGAGCATGCATTCACGCTCTATTTATACTACGTAGCTTTGCCTTCGTCCAGAGGGCATCGAGACGGAGAATGGCCGCACGGCTCAAACCAGAGCAGACTCCCACTTGTCAAGATGTTTTTTGGAGCTCAGGCCATCTCCATGCAAACGGGAGTTGGCCTAGCCGCTTCCTTCCTTGCTCCTAGTTGGCAGCTAGGATCAGTCATGGCCATTTTGTGTTCCATGACCGTACTGAACGGTTTGGAGAGCACCTACCAAGTAGCCTCGAGACTTTTGACTGACCCGAGCTTATGCCAAGCAGCTGGTGATTTCAGGTAATCGCGCTCGCACTCCGGGATGTCCTTCGACCGAAGGGCAGTGCTGTTGTGCTGCTTGTCCAGGTAAGTCGTGTGGGCTTGGCCTGGCTTTTCAACATATTCAGACAGAGACAGACATACGCAAGCCCAAGCTGGGGAATTTTGGGTGCTTGAAGTGTGGAGCAGTCACGAGTGTCATGAGGTACGCGTGGAATGTGTTGCAGTGTAGCGGTGATTTTGGACAGCTCAAGACACCAAGGATTCTCCTGCTGTCCGCGGTGTGGTACTGGACCAGCGCGGTCTGGGCTGCCGTGACCAAGGAATTTTGCCTTTGATACCGTCCTGACAGTGGCCTGCCACATAACGTTGAGATAAGACATGTATCACGCATGCGCATCCGCACAGAAACACGCACGTGCACGCGGGCGCACGCACGCGCACGCACACACACACACACAGAGACACAGAGAGACACACAGAGAGACACACAGAGAGACACACAGAGAGACACACAGAGAGACACACAGAGAGACACACAGAGAGACACACAGAGAGACACACAGAGAGACACACAGACAGACACACAGACAGACACACAGACAGACGCACAGACAGACACACAGACAGACACACACAGAGACACACACAGAGACACACACAGAGGCACACACAGAGACACACACACAAAGACACACAGAGACACACACAGAGACACACACAGAGACACACACAGAGACAGACACAGAGACACACAGAGAGACACACAGAGAGACACACAGAGAGACACACAGACAGACACACACAGAGACACACACAGAGACACACACAGAAACACACACAGAGACACACACAGAGACACACACAGAGACACACACAGAGACACACACAGAGACACACACACAGAGACACACACAGAGACACACACAGAGACACACACAGAGACACTCAGAGACAGACACAGAGACAGACACAGAGACACACACAGAGACACACACAGAGACACACACAGAGACACACACACAGAGACACACACACACACAGAGACACACACAGAGAGACACACAGAGACACACAGACACACACACACAACACACACACACAGACACACACAGACACACACAGACACACACACACACACACACACACACACACACACACACACACACACACACACACAGACACACACACACACACACACACACACACAGACACACACACACAGACACACACACACACACAGACACACACACAGACACACACACACACAGACACACACACAGACACACACAGACACACACTGATTCGGCCAAGAGAGCAAGAAGAGGGGAGTATGTTGTATGTTCAGATGTGGCAATTGAAAATCTAATCTTGGCACAGGGGCCTTCTAATCTGGCTGGCACAGGGGCCCCAGCTCAATTTTATGCAGGTACGCCAGACTGATCAGGTCTGGTATCCACCATTACGCATAGCTTCGTTGGCATGCGTTTGCGTAATGGCCGCATGCCCCCTGCAATCGTGTAGGAGTGACCCTCTGCTCCCATGTGCTAGGGAGGTTCACACACACACAGCCCCACCTTGGGGCGACTGTGTGCAGTGGAATAAAACCGCGCCAGGGCTCCAAGACCTAAAACGAACCCCAAACTAAACCACAAGACCCTGTGGGCTGCAATGCCCGTTTGCAAAGCTTGTTGATGTGGTCCAGAATGAAGCAATGTTGCGGTAGTCCAAGCTGTGGTGAGGCGTTAAAGTTAGGGTTCAGGACTGTCCTTCAGCTGGGCACGCAAGCCCCCAGAAGCGACAGAGGGGAAGGACGGCTGCTCAGCTGCCCTTGCGAGGGCCCAGATCCAGCCAGGGACTGTTCCTCAGCTGGGCGCGACGGCCCCCAAAGGCAACAGTAATAAGGGTTAACAGAGAAGACTGCTACCCAGCTACCCTCGAAGGGGTCCAGGGCTAGCAGCTTCTAACCAATGTATTGCACATGTGGTTGTATGTTGTAATTAGGGTGGTGAGATTAGGGTGAGGACACTCCTTCCAGCTGCCATCAAAGACCCAGGAACGGAGTGACTACAGCCCAGCTACCCGAGCAGGGTCCAAGGCCAGTAGCAGGATTAGGGAACTCCACCCTCCAGCTGTGTAGCAAAAGACACCCAGGAGCGGCGGACCATCCTCCAGCTGTGCAGAAAAGCACCCAGGAGCAATGGAATGAGAGGTACCACGTCCTGCGTGGTCCTCAACTTAGGGTGTGGGGTTAGGGGGAGAGAAAAGCGAGAGGCCGAGTACTCTCCGAAGAGAGCGCTGTTTCACTTGCTGTAGACATTGTTACCGCATCTGCCCTCATGTCAGGTGCACATGCCCTTGCAGTCCCTGAGGAATAAAGAAGCGGTAGAATAGAGGGCAGACTAGCGAGGTAGCACCTGCTCACTAGACGCACTTTACAGCATTAGCCGTTCCTTACTGCACCTGCACTCATGTCAGACTCACATGCGAGCATCAGAGAGAGAGAGATAAAGTAGCATCGGGAGATTCTGAACGATCTGAACGAAGGCTGAACACCCGGTTCATCACCGGTCTCCCCGGAGGGTCACCACGGCGCCATGACGGAAAGCCGTTGCTCTGGAGTCTCAACGACCCACGCTGATCACACAGCTGGATTCGGCCAAGAGAGCAAGAAGAGGGGAGTATGTTGTATGTTCAGATGTGGCAATTGAAAATCTAATCTTGGCACAGGGGCCTTCTAATCTGGCTGGCACAGGGGCCCCAGCTCAATTTTATGCAGGTACGCCAGACTGATCAGGTCTGGTATCCACCATTACGCATAGCTTCGTTGGCATGCGTTTGCGTAATGGCCGCATGCCCCCTGCAATCGTGTAGGAGTGACCCTCTGCTCCCATGTGCTAGGGAGGTTCACACACACACACACACACAGAGACACACACAGAGACACACACAGAGACACACACACAGACACACACACACACACACACACAGAGACACACACACACAGACACACACACACACACACACACACACACAGACACACACACGCAGACACACACACACACACACAGACACACACACACACACACAGACACACACACAGACACACACACACACACACACACACACACAGACACACACACACACACACACACACACACATACACACGTGCCCACCCACCCACCCACCCACTCACCCACCCATCGCAGGCCGGAATGTCTTGCTTTCACCGCCACTAGCCGCGCGCTCGTCTTCTGGTGTCTTTTGTGCGTATGAGGATAATCATGAGCAAGACCGCGATGGCAAGCTCTCCGGGTCCCTGCTCCCTGTGCCGGTGTGTCCGGCATGGGGGCAGGGATTTCGGAGAGATTCCTTTTCTTGGCACCTTTGGGACAATCTGCCCGAGGGTGCCAAGAAAGTTGTCGTGGTTTGCTCGGGTGCGCATTGGAGTGTAAGTGTTTGGACCTTCCTGCATGCTGTGCTTGCCTTTGTCAGGAAATGATATAACCTTCAACGACGACCCCGCCTATGTTGCTGACTGCATGCGGCGCATGATTCAGGCGGGCTGCCTTTTTTTTATTTTTTATTTTTCTTTGCTTAGAACTCCCATGCGTGTCCCCCTCTGCGCTCCTCTACATGCCCTCTCTGCCTTTGCAGGACTTCGCCTGGTACAATGTGGAAGTGAAGGTCCTGGATGTTGTACCATCCCAGGACATACGGCCAACGCCGTCGCCGTGACTGCACATGCCCATGCGGGTTTATTGAGGGGTGACTCTAGGCGTATAAAAGAAGGCACACGGAGAAACACTGCGTTGCCTTGCTTTCACAACCGCTGCGCGCGTCTTGGCAATTGCAGTGACGCGTCCAAGCAGTCCGTGTGTACCTGTGCCACTTTGCTTGGCTCCGGAGAAGCCTCTGTGCATTAAGTTACGAGGCACCATCTGCATTCGTTGGTCGGTGTTTTTGCATGATGCATGATTACTCTGCTGCGCCGTTCTTCTGTTGCTTGCCGCGTCGCCTGCAGATACGGAACCGGGCCGAGGCAGGGTAGTCCAGTAAACCTGTGCCGCCGCCTCGCCGTGCACTCTATGCTCGCAGGCTGGCTGTCTGATCTGCCTGAAATGGCTGCCTGATCCTAAGCTCGTTTGTTCTGAGACACGTCTGTTGTTCGCATCATGCATCCGGAGTTCCCGTGGGACATGCACTGTGTCGTTTGCGTCTAGGCACAGCAGGAGTGAGTAGAGGTCTCGTACCTCCAGCATGCACCTACTGCACTTTAAAGAACACGCTGCAGTCGTGTCGTGTCTTCTGTTGGGTGTTTGTTCTTGTGCGATTGTGGTGGCATTTTTTTCGGCTCACAGTGTCGTTTCTGCTAGCACGTGTGTGCAAGACGCGCGTCGCATATCTCGTGCTGTTAATCCCGCTCTCTCTCATGGCTCGCTGGGCGGACATGACCGACGAGACACTCGAGGCTGCATGTGTGCTCACGCGCTTGTCTTCATCCGAAGCGTCTTCTGTGTGCTGTCCTGCATCTTTGCAAGGTTTCGCCTTGGAACTGGCCTGTCTTTCGCCGCAACTATATGCAAGCGTTCTGCAAGCTTACAGTGCACCCACACACACACACACACCCACGCACACACACACCCACACACACCCACCCACACACACCCACCCACACACGCCCACACACACGCCCACACACACACGCCCACACACACACACGCCCACACACACACACGCCCACACAACCCCACACACACGCCCACGCAACCACACACACACGCCCAGAGCAGTTGTCGGACTTGTGGGGGTAGTGTAGTGGTAGCTTTGGGATATCTGTTTCAGCCAACTTTCAGTTTACAAATCATTCATACTGAGGCTCCGTTTTGGGCTGAGTGCTTCAGGATCTCAACCTACATGGCAACAGGAGGCTCCTTTCAGAAACCTGGAAGTTCCCCGAGTCGTTTCGAAACGCTGGGGCATGTTGGATGCTAAAGCGGACTGCCGGCTCTAGAGAGCCTTTGCCAGGACATTTTGGCAGAGCTTGGTGCAGCGCTGGTCTATCCCTCTACGAGCATATGGTTGACATATGTCCCACAGGCCAGCCCAAGAAAATCACAAGGACATGCGCAGCTTCCGGCCGGTGCCAAAGCAGGCCTTGACCTATTTCTTGGTGCAGATCTTTGCGTGGCTTGCGGGGCTCAACATCTTTGAAGGCCGGGCACCAGGAATGCTACTGAGTTTGACTCGAGCTTGTCCGAAGGCGTCAAAGTGGCAGTCATTGCAACATGCTGGCACGAAGAGTTACGAGGATGCATTCTGACATGATGCGGAATGATCGATGCTTGTGAAGGAACCTTCACTCGCTCCAAAAGCGGCAACATGGCAGGATGGAGTTTTGACTTCGCTTGGCTGTCATCTGGTTCTGGTAGCGGTCGGCAATACAGGCTTCTTGCGATTGATCAGCCCGCATGTACACAGCCATCAGAATCTAAACCTGAAGGCGTTTCTATCCACGGGACTTGCATCCGAAATCCTACGTTTCAAAGTATTCGTAGGATGCCTTTCCTCCAACGGCGAACAGCCGCGCTCCGTGGATGTGAAGGAATGGAAGCAACAGATCCTTTGTGCAAAGTGGCAAGTTGACACGCAAAGGTATGAGCTTCGGCACTTGGCAGCTTGCTGGGTCTGCGCAGCTCGGCAGGGCCAGGACTGCTGCAGCTCGGAGCCCTCTGTCTCACCCCGCGTCCCTCAAGAGTGCACCGAGGTATTTTTATGGTCAGCTCTTCACCGTGGCGGCACTGGCTCTCGATGCGCCGAGCACTTCGGAGGACATACAATAGAACATTTGATAAAGGTAAATTTTAAAGTTGCCTCTTTCCAGCAGCTCATCGTAAGACGTTTCGCGCCTATTTCAACACGCCTTTAAGGCATCGTGTTCGTGGTAAAGGCCATAGAGCCTCTCAGCACTGCGCTGCTTGCGATACCGGTGCTGCGACAGAGCTTCCAGCCGCAGCTGTTTCTGGCAATCGTTGTTGCATCTTGGCAGCAAAAGCGAAAGATTGCCATTGCATTGTCCGTTTTTGAGCCACGGGAAGAGCGGTCATACGTTTCTTGCTGACTTCTGGAAGCCGTGACGGTTCCCTGCGCGCCCAGTCAGGCATGCAGCGGCATTATGATAACTGCGTGGGCCGCTCATGGCGGCTCCAGTGTGATTCTCGTCTGCAGCACAAGGGTTGGTGTTCCTCCCATACAGATGTGAATACATGCACGGATTGAGCAGAGGCCAGAGATCTTCAGGGGACATCACCCGTTCCGGGGTTGTGCATGACTCATGACTGCCCCGCACTGCTCCGCAAGAGGCGTTGAAAGACTCTCATATCCCAGTCTCGCATTCGAGGGTGCAGAGTGGCAGCGCCTACGTTGCGATGTGCATGGGGATGCTGGCCAACATCGGCTTCTCCTGCCGAGCCTGCGTGGCGAAGAGGGTCCGCTGCTTAGGTTGGTCGATGGGACCAGTGTCTGAACACCAAAGCAACTCTGTAACCTGAGATGGGATACGGCTACGCAGCTACGGCCGCTGCATGAGCCCTCTTGGGGAATCCTCAGGCCTTGGTCTTCGAGAGCAACCACCCGCTCCAGGCCTGGTCCTATCCTGGGACCTGGGACTCCGACCCGTCTCACCCCTCCGCATTCCCCCCGCGTTCCAGGCGTTCGGGAAGCTCACCGTCTCTGCAACGCAGTCTGGAACTGCTCCTGGGCATCAACTCCTGGTGCATTTAGTTTAGGCATTTTGACCCGAAAAGCTGTTACTGTGGCACTGCGAGGTGCTCCTTGTCCTCTGGTTGCTTCTGGGACGAATGCTGCCGAACCACGAAGCCGCCACCAGCTTGATCATGCACCTGTGCCACCGTCCCGCTGCATGGTTCACGGTGCCTCGGCCCATGAAGCAGCGCATTTGGGATTCTTGCTGTTCGTGGTGACTTGGCCGAGTTGCTCGCAACTTGAGTGGTGCAGAGGCAGCATTGACTTACTTCTTGTATCAGAGCTCCTCTTTGCTTCTTTTGCGACTGGGGCGGCACGAATTTGAAGGCTTTGGTTCGAGGTGTGCATTTTCCCGTCCGACTGAAGAGTCTGGAATAAAGCGTATGAGATACGAGATTCGAACTGAAGAGTAGGCTGCATGCTACGGACCCGCTGAGTGCTGAGCTTTGAGAAACAAGCGAAAACCCGTCCAAGGAATGAGGTGCCGGATGCCTGCAGATGCCTTACGTAGCATGCTTCACCACTAGACCATCTGAGGAACTGCTTCCTGGTTGAGACGCATGCGCTGCTTGTGGCTCTCAAGTTGCCTGGGCGGCGATTGCGTGTTGAGGGGCGATTCGTGAGGTTTTTTGACCTATCTAACATTATCTAACTATCTACTATCTACTCACCTACCTATCTACAGATCTACCTGCCCATCTACCTAGCTGCGCCTGGCTGCCTAGCTAGATGGCTGCTATCTGTCTATCTACCTATCTACAGCTAATTGCTTCCACAATTGCTGCTTTCCTACCACAGGAAACAGGAACCATCCTCCACCCCCACCTCGCCATCATCGTCGCAGCCATCGCTATCGCCACCGTAGTCATACCATACATCATCGCGACAACCACCACCACCACCACCACCACCACCACCACCACCACCACCACCACCACCACCACCACCACCACCACCACCACCACCACCACCACCACCACCACCACCACCACCACCACCACCACCACCACCACCACCACCACCACCACCACCACCACCACCACCACACCACTGCACCACACCACTGCACCACCACCACCACTGCACCACCACCACCACTGCACCACCACCACCACTGCACCACCACCACCACCACCACCACCACCACCACCACCACATGCCACCACCACCAGCCACCACCACCACCACATGCCACCACCACCACCACATGCCACCACCACCACCACATGCCACCACCACCACCACATGCCACATGCCACCACCACATGCCACCACCACATGCCACCACCACATGCCACCACCACATGCCACCACCACATGCCACCACCACATGCCACCACCACATGCCACCACCACATGCCACCACCACATGCCACCACCACATGCCACCACCACATGCCACCACCACATGCCACCACCCCCCACCACCACCACCCCCACCCCCACCACCACCACCACCACCACCACCACCACCACCACCACCACCACCACCACCACCACCACCACCACCACCACCACCACCACCACCACCACCACCACCACCCCCACCACCACCACCACCACCGTCAGGATGCATCATTTACATTCAGACTTCCCAGTTGAACATGGGCATGCGTATCGATGATTCCGGACATTCAACAGCTGAGGCACGTTTTCGTTGTGGTCATCGCATCCTTGATGACAGGAGCTGTCCAGGACCCAGAGTTTAACCAGAAGCAGGAACAGCGAATCGATTGTGAGAAACCCTAGGTGCTCAATGAGTACATGGTTCTCGGACTCATCCTGGTATGTACCGGCGTGTGCTGGTACCTCACTGACAGCAGTGCGGGCCCAAGTGAATCCGCAGTGAGGACACGTGTAGAAAGTGTCCGGATCTAACATGAGAGCTTTCCGCTGCGCATCAAGAACTGCGTAGCTGTAAAAGTTCTCAGGCCCGGCCAAGTCGGAGCAGGACGGCGGGGAAGGGACCGGGCAGACAAGCAGAAAGCCAACGCAACGGTCAGATGCAAGACGAGCTTGCCACTGTAGTGAACCGACAATCATATTTGTTGGAATCGTGGTGCTGAAAACTCCATGTCGGGAGCAACCCCTCCCCTCCCCCCTGCATGGGAGCTGTGAACTCCTATCTGTGTGAGGAGCCGATCCTGCCCAAAGTGGGACAGGACACCGAGAGCCACGAGGTGGGGTTCAAGCTTTTAAAGTGAAGGCTAGCAAAGTCACGTTCTTTTTTTGGGGGGATTCGATGCTTAGTATTGTTACTCTATACATATATATATATATATATCTATATATACACATGTATATAATCATATATATATATATATATATATATATATATATATTAATTTTATATAGCATTACTGATTATAGGACAGTATTATTGGGGTGTTTGGGTTGCATTGTCAAAGAGATGACTGAAGGTTCCTTGGTCCCTGGTTTCCATTGTTTTATCAGCCGGCGGCCGAGTCGCTGCACGGGTTTTGGGGGGTTTGGGGGTGTAGTTGCAACCTGGACTGAGGTGGTGGTCATGGGAACTTTAACACCTTTGCTGCAGCTCTAGCCTATGCTCCGTGCAGCGAATTCGGTAGCAGAGGAGGTTCCACGACTTCCGGGGTCGAAGGAGGAAGACTTGCCAAAGGTAAAGCTGACTTCCTCCAGTCCTCCATCTTGAGCATTTGGAATTTACAGATTATGAGGGAGACGTTGCGCGGCGCTTGCGCAAGACTCGCTTCCCTGCATAGAGATGCCTCGTGTCGTCAAGGCAAGGGCTCCTTGAGACCGTTTCACGCCAAGGCCATCTCTAATGTTCATGCAGCGCCGAAATGGACGGCTGGGCACAAAAGGACGAGGGAATCCCCCCTTTCCCATAAAAGGAATGCAGCCGTGGAGTGAAGATGGAAATCAGCTGAAGGTTCTTTACGACGAGCCGACAGGAAGGCTCGCCCTAGTCTTCGAGCTCATGGCTGGGACCCGAGTCAGAACGAAGAGGGCCAGCACGCTGATGCAGAACCCCTCATGTCCGAATGCCTCCGAGGACATGAACCTCTATGAAGCCATCAAAGGGCGAAGGCATTACTTGCCAGAACAAAAGGCGGCAACCTCAGTGGATTGTGTTGCCAATGTAACTTGCTCATGTAACAAGTCTGCACGAGAATTCGCGGGCAGGTCAAACACTACATGTACGAGATGCTGAAGGCACACCACATCTACTGCAGAGCACGGGACGGAGAGTGCAAACCAAACTGTTTGCGGCTCCTGCCAGGCATTGGACCACATGCATCGGAACGGCATTTTTCATCGAGATGTGAAGTGTCACGGGCCTGCTTGCATCGACACGTAAAGGTGTTTGTGCGTGTGTGTGTGTCTCTGTGTGTGTACAGGGCTCTCTGGAATACATATGCTTGGGGTGTCATTTTTGTTGGCATGCTGCTTGCAGTTTGTGCCAGGCCAGAAAATCTGCTGCTGCTCGACGCCGTCGCCTCAAGATTCAAGCCTTTCAAGCCTTTCCCTGCCCGGGCCTCGGCCCGGTGTGATCGGAGCCGTTGGCATCAGGATGAGATCAAGCTGGCAGACTTGGGCAGTTGCCGTGGCATCTACTCTCGCCAGCCGCAGCCTGCTTGCATTCGTCCGTCAATGTGAAGCCGCGAAGTGATACATCGGACTTCTTTGCAGTGCCGTTGTGCAGCCAAGGTTCACGGAGTACATCTCCACCAGGTGGAGCTCTCAGCACAGTCGCTCCACCAGGTGCAGCAACACGACAACACTGCCATGCGCACTGAGGTGGTACCGAGCGCCGGAATGCCTGCTGACGGCGCTTTGGATGCAGCGAGCTGGGTTGCTCGGAAAATCCCGATCTCGAGTCAATCAGCTCGTCAGGATGGGTACTACAACTTCAAGATGGATCTTTTTGCAGCTGGTTGCCGGCGCCTTGAGCAAGCTTGTCCTCTCAGCCTGCAACATTCAGCTGCCGCAAATTTATCGGAGGGTTGCATGTTTGTGCAATCTACGCCTACGCGGTCGTCGAAGCAATCGGAGAAGGGTTCTCTTCTGGTCAGCTGAGGCGTTTGTTTTGAGATCGTGGCTCTGTTCCCTCTCTTCCCTGGGCAGAATGAGATGGCCGCATCCTGAGCCAAGTCGCCATGGCCACAGAATGGGGAAGCGCGTGTCTCTTCGATTCAGGATCAGATACAGAAAATCCACAACGCCCGGCTCCGAGATGCTTCCACCGCCTCTGGCGCTAACTTGGAGATCGGAGGGAATGGCCAAAAGTGATCCGGAGTTTTTCGTAATCATAGCTCAAAGCTGAAGCCATAACCGTTAGGTGTCTGTACACATATGTCATGCATCTAAATATGAAAAAATACACAGACACTGTATAGCTCATAAGGATAAGCTTCGAGGTGCTGGGCACACCTCCGGCCGAGCTTCTCGCGAGGAAGTTCCGGCGCAATGTGCGCCCAGCCGTAGTTTGAGGATTTACCATACCAATATGTAGTGGTTTTTGGGCTTAGGGTGTGGAAGCTGGGGAACTTGTGGAGAGTCCGTCCCCATTCGTGCAGGCCTCCCACATGGATTTCAACTTCCCCGAGAAAAAGGCTCGGCCGTGGAGTTTGGGGGGCCTTCTTGCTGTGGGGTTGTGGTATACTACATACACTATACATATATAATACACACTACACGGGCTACATAAATACATTGTATATATATATATATATGTACATCTAAACCTGTCCAGGGCACCGGCATCGAGCGGCTGATCCCTCATGCCGACCCAGAGCTCACCGAGCTCATGAAGAAGCTAGTGAGGCCGCAACTGTTGGCCTGACTGGTTGTGCTGTTAATCGCTGTTGACTGACATTGAACAAAGATCAGCTTTCAAGGGGCCTGATCGGCAGACACGCCCAACACTACAGTTCCTTCACCCGAAAGGTATGATCCCGATGAGCGCATCCTGGCAAGGCAGGCGCTGAAGGTGCGCCCAGCACAAATGCAAAAAGCTGCAGAGGCAACAGAATGACGAGGTTAATGGCAGACGAGATCAACACATCGCATTTGTTGCGTGCTTTTGCTTTGGGCTTGGGCTTTTTGCATTCAGGACCCATACTTTCGCGAGCTCCGTGAAGCAGAGAAGGACGGGATAATCGTCGAGAGCTTGCCTAGACTATAGACATCTGTTGGCGAGCTCCTTCCTGTCCTTCCGAGCTTTGGGAGGAGATGGCCACTGCCGTTCGGGACTCAAGTGTAGATGGCAAGAGAGTGTTCTTACAAGTCTGTGGACTCGTGGAAGACCCTGTGAACACGAGGTCGCGCAGCTCCAGTCGACCAGTGGTGGCTCGCGAAGCCTTGAGCCAAGACTGATCTTCACAGCTGCCCCCGACTCGGCCCACTGTAGCCCAAGAGCAGCCTTTGTCTTCCGGGTGAGGTCGCGATCCCATGTCCAAGGTCAGGCACTCATCGAATGGACACATTTTTGACGTGGCTTCTGGGGCTTGTGACTTCAGGCGGGCCTCAGCGCCACGAGCAGCGTGGCCAGCAACGCCGAGCATGAGAATCCAGAGCAGACCCATGAGCTCGGGTCTCAGAGAAGGCCTAGCCCCAGGCCAGGTGAAATCCTGAACAGAGGCCCAGTCGGAGCAGCAGCCCTGCGTGCGCGGCCTCAGTGTGTCCCTTCTTAGTCGGACAGTGTTGCGGGCACGTGATTCAGTGAGTGAGCTGTGCCGCGAGGCCAGAGGAGTCGCGCAGCGGTGGACTCCCTACTATCCGCCAGGAGAGACGCAAGGTCATTGCCCAAAGGAGTTGTTGTGTTAAAAGAAAAGACGCGGGAGAGAACGCACATGGAGCCATTGCCACCTCGTGCCAGATGGGCGGAATGGCAGATAGCGATGAGGTGCACGATGATGGCATGGTGTGCTACTGAGCTCCTCTGCAAAGCCAAGAGAACCGCGAAGTCATGCCTGTTTGTGTTCAGACGGACAGCACATACTAGGCACAGTCTGTAACAATTGAAGGAGCTGTCGATGGCCATGCAGCTGATGTCCTTCCACCCATCGGAGGTTTGAAAGGCAAACGAGACAGCAAGAACAAGACGCAGACGTTCAAGACTGCAGCGGCTGCCCACAACTCAGGATACAATCAAGTCTCATCTCGTCAGTGCCGCACACGCGCACCTGCTTGAGGCGTCCTTGCAAAAACCTGGCATGGTGTGGTCAGCTTAGGGCTTTTGCAGCATGGAGCACCGGGCTGTAATTTCGACATGCCCCACCTTCCGGTGAGGCATGGGACCATGACGGTGCATGGATCTATGGGAGCGGGGTGTGGACCTGAGCGCGGTCATCATGTTCATTCGCAGATGTGATAGAGAGGGCAGGGATGGGCAGGGTCAAGCTGCCAACAAGGGAGCCAGACCACATTTAGGATAGTGAGCACTTCTGCACTCTGTAAGACTTGAACTCTGAAGCATTTCGACCAACCTCGACATGCCTCCTCCATGTCCTGCCAGTGTGCATGGCGCAGAGAAGTCGCTGGGCGTCCTGGGCACGTCCAAGGGGCCCGGCTCCTACACACGTGGTCGTTCGTCATGGTACTATTCAAACATAATGTGGACATGCTACTAATATCAATAGCAACAAGAAGATCCTGGAGGTTCAATGGGACTGTGAGCAGCACCACAGGCCTGCGGCATCTTGGGGCAAGAGTGCGGCTTGCAAAGGGCGTTTTTGTGCAGGAGGAGCTAATACCCAGTCCAGTATGTCCTCCAGTGGCGCCCGGGCCTGAGAATGAGGCGATCGAGCATCGCTCGTGACTCTGCGGTGCATCATGATGGCTGCTGAGGATCCGATGTCTTCCACAAACCCGCACAGTTGGACCACAACTGATCACCAGGATCACATGCGCGGGGTGCGGAGCCTAAAGGGGCGAGCGAGATTTGTCAATGAGGCCGCGATGTAGCTAGAATACAGAAGCCTCTGAAGGACTTATAGGTACTATACACTAGCGAAGGTGAGCTAAGTCGCAAGAGTATACCAGTTTTGCATGTGATAGAAACTTGACTCGGCATACACTGGCTACGACTCGGAAGTCTGGTGACGGAAACTAGCCAAGAGCGTGTTGCATTCAGTTGGTGGCATTTCCTCGAACTTGTTCTGGTTAGGTGAGCTCAGGGCCGACAACTCAGAAGTGTCTCCCCACGCTTCAGTGGTTTCTGAAATTCTGTATCGTAGGAACGCTAGACTCGGCTCGGCTGAGAGGTCTGGTACGACCGCGGTAGCAGACAAGATGAACTCGACATGGGCTCCCAACTCGCAACGCAGGCTCTGCGCTCTTGCTTGCGAATCTGGTGTGAATCCCTTGGAGCACTGCCCATGGCTGCATCGACTTGGGCGCAGGTACGTCTCGCCCTTCGGCGCGAAGATGCCGGGAGGAGGGTCCAAGAAGCGCCGGGCACCCGGTGAGCGAATGGCTTTGGCTTCGCTAGACTCTCTAGACTCTAGACTCCAGCCGTTGGAGCAGCGAGGCTAATCGGACCCTCCCGCCGCACCACTTCTTTGCGACTGTTTTAGTAGTTGATCTACACCACGAGGTTTCACTTCAGGCTAGGCTGTAAGCCAGCCTGGTCGAGTTTTGTATATAGAGTCGAGATTCCAGGAAATGCATGGCATGGATGCTGCAAAGCAGCCGCGAATTTGTGCAAGCCCGGCGGGTCGCCACGAGCCTGTTTACCTACGCAATCCTATACAGATCTATCTATATTATATATGCATACTGAAGATGCTTGCTTTCCTCAATCCTTCGCTGTTTCCAGCTCAGCCAGTTGCCTGGTCTTATCTTGGCGTCTACCGGAGAGTCTTTATGATCCTTGCAAGTGTTTGGAGGGCTGCCGGAAGGCATCTTTTGCCCTTGCGAGAATCGCCAGCCCAAGCATCCCTCGCCTGGCAGCCAGAATTGGCTGTGTGGTACAGAGGCAGGTGTGGAAGCGATGTTCGGCAGGCAACTTTTACACAGATATCTCTTGGCAGGCATCCCTGAGCCCCCTCCCATGTTCCAGCATCCACAGCTACAGAATGCTCTACAGGGTTTTTGTCCTCCGTGTTGCTACACAGCCCATCAATACAGTGGTCTGCAGTATGGGTCAGATAAACTTCGGTAACAGCATCTTAAGAACGACTACGGCCGTAGCTCGCAAAGCGTTGCAGCACTGCAGGAAGCCAGGCGCGTCTCACGCGACAGTTTACCAGGAGGCCGATATCATGACAACTATCTAGCCCTTACCATGATCAGGTCATGGTCCTCAATGCGTGACATCTGAAAAGTGCGTTGCTGCACACTTGATCTCTGCTGCGCATGCTTCTGCGCGATGTCATTGCACCGATCTTCTTTCAGATGTCTCCCTCGGAACTTGCGAAAAGTGTCGGCAAGTGCTGAAGTAAAGTCCCAACAAGAAGCTTTCGGCCGGCTAGCATTTAGCAACGTGCACTTGATTTTCTTGCGCTCGCAGTCAGACGGTTGATGGAGCTACGCTTGCGCTGGAACATACGGCAAGTTTAGCTCCTTGTTGCCATGCGGATGACGAGCTTGTTGCAGTGCATATGCCCCATCATCGTTGCGACCGCCGCAGTCGGAGCCGCGCTTCTGTGGCCAGCTGTGCTGCGCCTATGCAGACTCCCGCAAACGTTAGTTCCGTCGGACAGCAAAGATCCGGATGCTCTGCGTGTTGGCATCTTGGGAGCATCTTTCATCGCAAGGGCGGCGGTTGTCAATGCCGCCGACAAGAGGAAAGATGTTCTGGTGTCCGCTGTTGCTGCAAGAGATACGCAGCGAGCTGAGACCTATGCTGCCAGGCACGGCATTCCAGCCTTCCATGGAGGATCCACTGCTTACTCCGAGCTGCTTGCAAGAGAGGATGTCGATGTGGTGTACATTGGGTTGCCGACCGGCCTGCACTTGGAGTGGTCCCTTGCTGCGTTGCGCGCTGGCAAGGATGTCTTGTTGGAGAAGCCAGCTGTACTAAACGCACAAGAGGCCTCAGAGTTGGTTCAGGAAGCCAAGCGTACGGGTCGCAAAGTCTTCGAAGCTGCACACTACCGCTACCATCCAGTAGCAAAGCGGGCAAAGCAGCTGATGTCTTTGACCGTGGCAGATGGCGGAATCTCGCCCCTCCGGTTCGTTGAGGTAAGGTTCTCCATGCTCGACCCGAAAGCATGGCTCCAGAGTATGAAGTTGTGGCCTGATCAGCCTGATCGGATGCTGGAACGAGAACGAGTGAAGAACTTTGACCGTTGGTGGTACTGTGTTGACATGCTTCTTTGGTCAACAGATGCCCTGGATGCCCGTGTGATCTCTGCTACCGAGAAGCGGTTCTCCCTGACGGCTCTACTGGAGCTCCGGCTTTCATCGACGGTGATCAATGCCTCCATGTCGATGGCTAGAGATTCACTCCTGGATCCCTTCACATGGAGCCTATCCGCCACTGGGCAGAGCTCAGACGATCAGGCACTAAGGGGCCAATCTTGAGCTCTGAGGTTCATAGGATTCAAAGCAGATCCTCTTCTGGTAGACCGTGCATGGAGCCCTTGCCACATCGCCTCATGAGACACCAAATGCCCCCTAAGTGCCCTTGTGCTTCTCTAGGACTAGGCCCAACCAAACTCGCCACCCCTGAAAGGCCTCCAGCATCGCGCTCCACAACTTCGGCTTTCCTTTCCTTTGGCATCGTCTGGACTTGACGCGCTTTGGGCTCGGAGGGCTCCCTATACGGTTTCTTCAATGCTGTCTTGTTTTTGCGCCGTAACTCCGAGAGTTCTATCTTGATGTGATTCTCTGAATGGCCTTTAGTGAAGGCTTGTGATCTATCGCATACTCAGAGCTCTGGAAGCGGAAGCTTGAGGTCCCGGAGTGGCTCACTATGAACAGCTCTATGGCGCTGGTGAAACCACGTGGCCTGGCCTGTAGTGATTTCAGAGGTGGGAGCTCTAGTTTCTTCCGGGTGTCGGCCGCTTCTTGCGATCCAGTGACTGGTTGCCTTTTTGCATTCGTGCATTGAACTTGCCGTACCTTGCAGCATCCGAATTGCGAGTGTGCGAACGATGCAACGGCAAAGAATGTAGCACAAGCGACGCTAGCTGCAAAAAGGCAGTCTCTCAATGTCAGCGGAGGTTTGAGCATCAGCTGGGCAACTTTCGGGAAGCCCTGCGCTCCGGCGACTACAAGGTACTCATGGAACAGTAGCGTCACTAACAACAGTAGCACCAATGATGCAAATCATGACAGTAATATTAACAATTAGTAGTAATCGTCATCGTAACAGCAACATCAATAGCAATAAACGACAATATAGCACTAGTCACTAGTGGTAATATTCACGATAATGGCCATAACAAAATAGTCGTACTAAGACTACTGGTTTTAAGACGAACAGCTGTTAGCTGCAGGACACCATGCTGCTGACCATGAGAACTGTGGATCGGATTCTGGAGATGGCTGGTCTTGGAGCTTTTCCTTCGAAGGCGGCTGCTCCCACTTAGGCTAGTGACCAGTGGGGCAAGGCCGTCAAGGTGCAAAGCAGCAATGGCCAGGACAAGACGTGGTTTCCAGGCCATCCAGGCCTGGCTCCGTGGGTGTTCGATGCGGACTCGGAGAAGCTCGGAGATGCTGGAAGTCCCAGAGCACGCGGCATTCAGGATGGCGACAGTTCGGCTTCGAGGGCTGGTACAATGCTGCTCAACAGGGAGTACGTTGACCTGGGTTGCAGGATCCGAGCGCGACATGCGCATCCATGCTGTTAGCAAGCGATCTTGGACCTTCCAAGCATTGCGTCTCAAACAAGACATCTCTCCGGCGATTTGCGTGCAGAAAGGGCCACAAAGTGGGCGTGAGATTGTTTGGTTTCTTTTTTGTTTCAATAAATGTGCGTGTGCGTGTGCGCGCGTGTGTGTGTGTGTGTGTGTGTGTGTGTGTGTGTGTGTGTGTGTGTGTGTGTGTGTGTGTGTGTGTGTGTGTGTGTGTGTGTGTGTGTGTGTTCATGTGTGTGTGTGTGTGTGTGCGTGCGTGTGTGCGTGCGTGTGCGTGTGCGTGTGCGTGTGCGTGTGCGTGTGCGTGTGCGCGTGTGTGTGGGTGTGTGTGGGTGTGTGCATATGTGGGTGTGCGAGTGTGTCGGTGCGTGCTTGTGTGCGTACGGGCGTTTGTGTCTCAGAGGGTCTAGTTCTGGGCCCCATGGTCCACGCTGACTTGAGAAACCTCCAGTGTGCGGGTTCCGCTGCCTGGCTCGAGCAAATGCTGAGCAGCCAGTCATGCAGTGCACCAAGCCCATTGGATGTTCATGCTTCAGCGTGTCAGCCAAACCTTATCCTGGCATGTCGAGGAGTTTCGCTCACTAACGCAGTTCTCAGGCCTCAGGCAAGCAACAACAGCTCAGAAACACGCAAAGAGTCGACAAGACATTGACGATCGGGTTTTCCTATCGTTGGTTGTCGAGGAATCAAGAACGTTTTCGAATCATGGAGGCAGGAGCTTGACCACAACAGTGCCTGCACTGAAAGTGTATCTACAAACATGGCGACGCCAGCGGCTGCTGCCAAAGAATTCGTCAGTGGACCTCGAGTCATTCAGGCCGGGAATGGCCCAAGGATTTCAAAATTACGGAAGAAAGCTTAGTGCCTGTCGTGCAGAAAGCCTTCTACCAGGCCTTCTCGTCGACATGGGGCTTACGATTCTGGCTGTAGCATGCTAGCCCTTCCTGGTCAGTTGCTCAAACACCAACCCTTTGCATCCAGTTACGGCAATCGCGACGATCACCCCTTGAAGGAAGTCGTTTGCACCCATTGCATTCAATTACGACAGGCTTCAATCGCTTCTCTTCGCGACTTTACTTGGTCTCCCCACGCCAGAGTTCATCCGTTCTGCATGCCGCAGGCCTCAACCCATGGTTTGCAAACATCGCACTGAGATTGCCGGTGTTCGGCTGCACGGGGCTCGCGAAGCTTGCTTCGGCGCGGACTCGCACAGGGAGCCTATGCAGTCGGGTTTATTTCTGTAATGTCAGTTTATGTGACCGAATCTTCTGGAACAAGTTCGACGCCCCCCCAGCGTCACTGGATTTGTTCACGACACCTTCTTGATGTTTTCAACTACGGGCTGGCGTAATTCACTGGAGGCGTCTGGTCAGCTAGGCCACAGTTTGAATTGCTATTGGCTGAGGTGGCCCACTCCATGAACCCGGTCAGAAAAGGTTTTGTTGGCAGACACGCGTTTTTTGTCAGAGCAACTACCAAGCATTTAATCCTTGACATGCATGTTTGCAGTTTTTTTGGACCACCCCACAGCCCTGATACAACAAAGTGGAATCGGCGCTTCGCTACGCAATCAAAACAGGCTGCCACGAAATTTGAGTTACACGGGCGGCACAAAATGTATTCCGTGCCACATCATGCCCGAGAGAGTACCCAGGTATGCTTGTTTTGATCGTCTTCGGCACCAAAATCACACAGAAAGACGAGCGATTGCATTGTGAGCAGCTCACTACCTGCAAGCCTTTGCATGCACACCAGCGCATTTCAACAATCGAACGTGTTTAAAGACATCCTTTTTGCTGGGACAATGCTGGCGGCCACCACCAGCTTAACCGATGATGCGAAGTATAGGAACATGATGACCCTAGCTTGTTCGATTTTCGGGGTTAGGGTTGATGGCTTAGGGTTTCGGGCTTAAGATTTAGGGGTCTCATGACCTTCTAGCTCCGAAATTGTTCCAGCTACAGGGCGTCTGTCAGCACAAAGCCACGTGCTGTTCATGTCGCTGCCTCGCGCGAAGACTGCGGCGGCAGTTTTGCTTCATGTTTCTCTATATACAGCATGGCAAGCATTTAAATTCGGTTATCTGTTTTTGAAAATCGTTTTTTTCTGGTATTGTGGAAATTTCAAAATCGGGCGATCGCAATTTCCGTTTTTGAAAATCGTCGGGGCGTAGTTACATGCCGCGCCGGTGCTTTTCTCAGATTTGAGAAACCACATGGAGAAGGAGCTGTACTACTTTTAAATGAAGGCCCTGAAGGCTGCGTGCTGTCGGTGGTCCCAAGCATTTAAATCCGGGGAGCTTTTTTGAACAACGACATGGGGTGGGTGGCGAAAAAGCAAATTTGAGGCTGGTTTCGATTCGGAAGAGATTGCCACGAGTGTCACGAATAAAGGATCTAAGCTCCAAAACCATCAGATCACTGCCAGGACGCTCGCTTGAGCCCCGAGTCTCCTCAAAAGTTGCTGGGCCCAAATTCTAAGGATGGTGTAATTAATAAAATGCCATCAGACCTCAGCCCGACGCTAAATGATTTAAGTGTAAACCAACATCGCTTCATCAGCCTGCGATCTTCTTGAGCCCGTTGCAGAACCGCCAATTGCCAAGCTCAGGGCTGCTAGGGTGTGACGCTGTCGACTTCGGATTCATCCCTGTTGGAGTTCATGAGTGGCAGTTTGGGCGTCCTGAGGTAACCACTTCCAGGGGGTATGTTTTAGGGTACATCTATGGCCATCGTATTACTTACTTCCTATTCAGACCTAATCCGCCCTAGCAGGCAACCTTGTTGCAGAACATTGCGGTTTGTCTATTTTAGTGTTGCGTTTATGAGTGTATAGAATCTTACATGTTAACAAAAAGGTATCCCGTTCCAGCGAAACCGGTATTTAGACGGATCGCTCAAATCTACTGCTCGACGTTGTTGCTTATTGCTGTCCACAGAAAATATGCAAACAGGATTTTTCCGGCAAAACAAAAGTTAAGCGTCCGATTTTTAAATGCTTGCCAGTTCCTCCCATTTTGGAGAGCTCGTCAAACATTCGCGAAGATACGTATAAGGTTTCATCATACACCGTCACAGCATGTTTTCTTTTGGAGAGTGCAACGCCCTGGTGGCGTGTATTTCTCGGTAATTTAGAAGTTTTTGCACCCAGAATTTTAAGCGTGTGTTGCCTCATCCAGGCATTGCACCCTTGATTTTGAGTCTTGGGCATGTCACGAAGTAGGAGTTTGTTGGGGGAGAGGGAGATGGTTTGCCATCCAGCATCTCCATTGAAGTTGAGGTGCGTGATCTGGCATATCATGTCGAAATCATTAAAATCCATCACAACCCCTGGGTGTCTATCCACATATGCATCTGACTTGAATCGATGCGTGTTTATGGAAATGTGTATACTTACATGTGCATACGAATGTTGACTTGTCACTTATTGTATATATCATGTCTTCAACTAAGGAATGAAATTGCGGCGTGGGCTGCAGCATAAATGCTAAAAGACTATATTGACAGGCAGACCGTCATCGATGTGTACAACCGCATCTGAAGCCATGGCGAAAGGAATCTCTACACTCCTACACTTATAAAGCTCTGAGGGGTTTGCCACCTCTGAAAGAGTTTTTGGGTTTGCTACCCATCATCTACTATTGAAGCCTTGGATTGAGAGTGCAACATCTTCTAGTCTGCCTGTATTTCGGAAATCAGTCATCGATTTGAGGAACCAGTTGTGGTTCCGCCACTCATCGAACTTCTACGGGGGTTTGGCTCATTACATCCATGTGCGGCATTGCGTTTCAGCCGAATGTCTTCCAGTAGAGTTTGGATGCTCTGGACACACGTCATCCTTTTCGGTACTTAGGTTCGCTACACACTATATATCTTTCGTGGATACGTGTAGCCCGTGATATGTGCTAAAGTGTTCAGACTCTGGTTTTTATGCTGGTGGTCTCCCAGCATCCCCTACTGTGATTTGCATTTCTGGCTGGGTGGGCCACACCTTTTAAGGATTAGCTTACGGTGTAATAGGGCATGTTAATCAGTTATTCTATTGAAGACCTGTTGTTCGCCATCATCCACCCACTTCCATGTAAATCCGAATGACAATGTAATTACCCATTTCCGTGATGCACACAAAGTTATATGTGTGTGTATGTGTGTATACATGTGTCATCCACCCATAATTTGCTTGCAATGTTCCAATCTACATCGTGTGTGCAACTGCAGAGTGGCCTTGCGGTTACATACCCCGGTACTTGCATGTATATCACAAAATAACCTATGTATATATACATACATATATATATATACAGATATATATATATATATGTATATATACATATATGCATATACATGTGTGTGCTCGTGCATAGGCTTCCAAAGTTCACGAACTTGTAGATGGTTGCATAGGCTTCGAGAGTGCATGAACTTGTATACGTGCATATCTATATGTATATATATATATATATATACATATATGCATATATACACACACACATATATATATATATACATGTATATGTAGATGTATATATGTACAGGTATGGAGGACATGCTTCCACACAGATTTGAGATTCCGCATCCTCTACCCACCATGCCCATTAGGGGTTTGGGATGGGAGCCTGAGGCCCTCCATTTTCCTTTGAGTGCATGGCTGCCTAAATGCCTCATTGTTGCATACACATATGTTCGCATATTTCAGAAATATTGCACATGCTTCCGTGATACTTATGTATGTACGTA